TTCCTGTTAAAACATAACGTATTTTTATTTATTTGATCAGAAATTCTATCTACAGAAACAAGGTTCCTCAAAGGGAGTCCATTTTTCACCCATGTATGCTAATCTCTACATGGGCAGCTGGGAATAACAACACATCTATAATGCTTCCAACCCTTACAGACATCTCATTAAAGCGTATTATCGTTATATAGATGATCTGATCTTCATAGTGGACAAAGAAGTACCACTTGACAATTTTCTCTCACATTTGAACATGAATACCTGGAACCTTTGCTTCACTGGAGAACAACAAATCACGTCCATCAATTATCTTGATGTCACCCTATTGGGCTCTGCACAATCACAGCAGATTACTGTCATGGCATTCAGAAAGCCTATATCAAGAAATTCTATACTTCACACTTCCAGTTGTCATCCAAAACATGTCATCAATCCAATTCCTAAAGTACAGTTTGTTTGCATTAGAAAAAACTGTTCTCTTTTGAAGGATTGTGAGAATCACGCTAAAGAAATGAAAGATATGTTCACACAACAAGGCTATAATAAACATCTGATTGCAAATGCCCACCAAGTTGTTAAGAACACCTCGATGGGGTTTTCTCGACAATGGAGGTATCCCAAACAAAAAAGGCAACAAGAAGAGTGAATTCAGAGTCTGTGGTTTTTTCAACACGGTATAGTGATCAATATCAGAGTATAAAACACATTATCTCCCAATATTTACTGATCCTGTATGGTGATCCAAACTATAAGAGGATACTGATGAACAACGTAAAATTTGTAGCCAGAAAGGCTCAAACAATAGTCAATATACAGTAGTTATGCCGATTTCTCTCAAGACAGCTGGAGCGTACATGGCTACATACAACAGGCTTTTTTTAGGTGCAATGCCACACAATGTTCTACCTGCCACTTTGTGGAGGATCCCCACACAGTTCCATCATGCACCAATGGCAAAGACCATACCACCAGAAAACTTGTTAACTGTCAAACCAAGTACGTAATCTATGTCATAACCTGCCAGGCATGCAGTGTCCAATATCTGGGTCGAACAACCAGACGATTATGTGTCAGAATCCAAGATCACTTTTCAAACATAAGAACAAAGAAACTGATCTCTCTAGACATTTTAGAGTACATCACAATTCAGCTACCCACTCTCTTAGAGTACAAGTTATAGAGTGCATAGGTCCACATAACAGAGTAGGCAACCGGTTTTCTCTCCTCTGTAAGAGAGAGGTATCCTGGATATTCAGAGTTGAGACTCGGATACCTAAAGGTCTGAACTACGAATGGGATGTCATCCTTAACTATGAATAACAGAATGTTTCAATGGGATATCATCCACTATTATGAATAATAGAACTCTTCCATATACTTATCTCCTTTTTGGTTCTATTGCTCTATGAAGAAGACATCACAAAACAAAATAAACTCCCGTTGTTTTTTGAGAATTATTGACATTTAGTTCCTGATATATGGACTGTATGTCACTGATCTTTGTCGCTTACCTGTGTCCTATATGATGTCCCTGAGTAAGGACAACAGACCTTTTTGTATTTTCATTCTCATTATGTTTTTAAAAATTATTTTTAATATCATTTTTCACACTTCATACAGGACACCTTCATCTTTTCACTTGTCACTTTTACACATTTTCATACTTTTTTTCTTTTTCCCTTTTATGTGTATTGTTTTGAATAAAGTTTATTTTACATTTTTTACTGTTTATTTATTTATTTAATTTTTTTTCACCTATTATATCTTCCATGTTCACTTCTTTTATATGTTTCTTTTTGATTTGATTCTCAATTTTCCCCACTTTTTTAATGAGTTTTTTTCCCTTCTTTTACGTATATATATTTTTTTCTTTCTTTTTTCCCCATTTATGTATTATCCTTTGCATGCTTTATTATGTATATTTTTCTTTCTATTTTCTTTCCTCTTTTCCTTTTCCGGTTTCCTCTTTTTTTCTTCTTCATTATCTCTTATTTTTTTATCATTATTTCCTTCACCTGCACATACTTCCCTCCCTTCACGGTCGATGATGCTACATAGCTTCCGTGCTGTCTGTTTTCCCCAGGCTCTGTGACCAAGCCCCTAATGGGCGGGGCGAAACACATCAGAGGGCATAGCCAGAGTGACAGCTGAGGCCAGCTAAAGCTTACATCGCTTTCTATTTGACTCTTGGGGATCGTTAGAGTGGCACCCACTCCTCCATACATTTAGAATGTCTTTGGTATCACTCGGTACGCTGCTTTCTCTGCCGGCGGGGTGATTACACTTTTTGTCCATCTTCGATCGGTGCCACAAGCTTGCTACAAGGACTCTTCTGCAAATGTTTTGTACTTGCTTTGTAAAAAAAACTAAATAAGAGGGTAATTAAAGCTAGTAAACCCAGTATACCCAGTATACCTTCTCCTAAATTGGGTGCTGTCTTCAAAACCCAAAAAGCCTATCACAAAAACTTATCCCCATAGAGGGGCTATAGTGGTTACTTTTGAAGACAAAACGTAAGGATGGTATGGAAAATTATTATCGTTTATTAGGTATAAATCCTTAAAAATCTTTACATATCTCATGTGAAAAACTTTTTTAAAAATTGTGTGAGTGACAAGCATTGGCTAGCTTAAAACATATATGGACATACATATAATGCAGACAAACAGACGACAAACAAATATAGAACATAATAACGTCTGGATGTCATGTATACCCATACAATGGGATACACTGTGGCTAATGCCGCATGTGACTAGAAATAAGAAGGTAAGTAATACTAATTGTATGGGTACCGGGGTGTATAGCAGACGTAACTCCATAGTCCGTTACATAAACAATGTAATTGGTGGTAAAGATGCAGATGGTAATAGGTTCAGGAGGGGGGGGTTAATGAAGCACAGGTTATATAATTATATTGCAGTCCTATCTGTCCATGAATGGTAGTCTCCTTGTCAAAACACGATATATTGAATATACAGTCCACAGTAGGTGGAATATAAAGGCCAGACTAGGATGAATGGTGTGCAGTCCTTCTCCGGAATACTAATTCAGCAGTTGAAGACACAGCAGGAATAAGTAAAGGACATGCAGTGCAATAGCTTGGAGAGCAAAGCAATTATTGCATAGCGGTAGTGGTCAGAGCAGAGAGCAGGATTGTAATATTCAAAGCTGTAATATAGCTTAGTGAAATAAGGAACTACATAAATGTAGAACTTCCATGACCGATTGCAAGTCTGTCTTATCCGTCCGCCATACCAGTGTGTATTTTCATGGGTCTCCAGCCAGCACTTAATTAAGAACATGCAGCGCAATAGCTAGGAATGCAAAGCAGTTCATGCATAGCGGTAGTGGTTAGAGCAGATAGCAAGATATATACAGACAAGGCTGGCTTAAGTAGTTAAGTAGAATGGGAAACTTCATATATGTAAAGCTTCCATAACGAAGTGCAAGTCCAGCTTACCCATCCACCATTTCTGAATACAGTTCCATGCGTCTCCAGCTTATGTATGCAGTTTTTCCAATAGGGCTGCTCTTCAATGCTCTACCTTCCATATCATGTGGTTTGCGGCATATCCCGCTGTTCTTTGGTGTGTCGGGAAACTGCCGCTATCCAACATGGAGTACCCCCATAGTAAGCATGGTGTCACGTGACGTTATGTATGACATAAACGCGTTTTGCTAGAAAGTAGCATAGCTTAGTCTGCTTTGTATTCCTAGCTATTGCGTTGCATGTCCTTAACTGAGCGCTGGCTGTAGACACATGAAAATACACACTGGTATGGTGGACGGATAAGCTGGACTTGCACTCGGTCATGGAAGTTCTACATTTATGTAGTTCCCTATTCCACTAAGCTATATTACAGGTTTGATTCAGTCCTGCTCTGTTCTCTCACCGCTACCGCTATGCAATATTTGCTTTGCTCTCTGAGCTATTGCACTGCATGTCCTTTACTTATTCCTGCGGTGTCTTCAACTGCTGCTCCATTAGTATTCAGTAGGACTGGATGCCATTCATTCTATTCTGGCCTTTATATTCTGCCTACTGTGGACTTTATATTCAATATATTGTGTTTTCACAATGAGACTACCATTCATGGACAGATAGTACTGCAGTATAACTATATAGCCTGTGCTTCATTTATCCACCCTTCCTGAGCCTACTATTACCATCTGGGTCTTTACCACCAATTACATTGGTTATGTAATTGATCTAATATTGGAGTTAAGGCTACTATACACCCCCGATACCCATACAATTGGTATTACTTACCTTCTTAGTTATAGTCACATGCGGCATTAGCCACATTGTATCCATTGTATGGTTATACATGATTTCTGGATGTTATTATTTTGTATATATGTTTGTGTTGTCTGTTTGCCTACATTATATGTATGTCCATATGTGTTTTAATCTAGCCAATGCTTGTCATTCACACTGGTAATTTTTTTTAAAGTTTTTAACGTGATATGTAAAGATTTTTGATTAAGGATTTATACCTAATAAACTATATTAATTTTCTATACCAGTCCTTATGTTTTGTCTTCAAAAGCAACCACTATACCCCCTCTATGGGGATAAGTTTTTCTGTTGGGAAAGCATTGTGCCTAGTGTGAAATGCCTTACATAGTGCTTGTTCCTGCTGGCTATTTTAATGAAGAAAGAATATTATTTTGCAGCTTGGTGTGTGGTGTTCCTATTGCTGGTTCAATTGATTGTTTCGGTGGAGATAAGCCTATCCAGCACCTGAGGTGTATCTATGAATTGTGGAGCCTAATCTTACCTGGAGCGACATATGGTCTGTTTAGTAATGACTGTAGGCTTATTTCACAAAGTCAACACACCAGGATATGGATACTTATTTTCAAAAAGTGACAGTTATTTTGAGTTGAGTACAATAAGATTTGAAAATTACAGTCGTATTTCTGAAAATAGAGTGCCCAAGGCTTGCGTATAGACTCATATGCATCTTTCATTTATTATCTTATTATATTTTCAGATTCCTGTGGATGCCCCGTGGAAAGCTCCTCATGCATTGGAGTGGGACAAGATGACGATGAAGGAGTTTATTGACAAAGTTTGCTGGACAAGGTAAGATTTCTATACACCTTTCTTTGAGCTGTAATCTAAAACCAATTAAAACCGAGGAAAGAATATTGTATATTGCAGTTTACCAGTCCTTATGTGTGTGGCTGCATTTTTTTTTCAGGGTAAGTACAATTTCCAATGTCCTGTGCAGTGAACTGATATACCGATGTTATTAGTTTTCCCAGCTATCTTCTGTGAACTACAAAACCCCTCCTGATTACGTAATGAAGATGAGGAGAAGAGTAGGTATTGTTTTCCAAATCAGCAGAGCAGCCTAAAGGTGACAACACTGCTTCTCTGTAGATACAGTGCAGTGATTGAGAGCTATCACTCTAGAAAAAGTGTGCTACTAGCAGGAGCACCAGCTGAGAGCAATAGAAAAACATCCCTAAAAAAACGAATTCAGCACCACCACTTAGGACTAATAATCAGCAATAATTTCTATGGTTTTTGTTTTTGGGTTTAGAAATGCTTTTTATCAGGAGTAGGCAACCTTTGAGAGGTGATCTACATGAACAACATGAAAGAGATCGAAGATCACCAGGGATTGGCAGCCTTTTTTTTTTAAAGAAATTAACTAGCAAGGCCTAACCAAATAGTAAGGATGACACAAGTAAATCTTAGAAAAAAATGATAATAAAATTATTGTCACTATAAAAATATAAACTTAGCTGGCCTTAAAAGGTAACTTCACTGAGCAACTCATTTACTTTCATTCACAATGTTCATATTTGGAGGGTAATTGGTCACCTCACAAGTCTGATGCTGGAGTTTATCGTGAAGGTGGAACATCTGGCACTGCAGGCTGACTTGCTTGACTAGCTTCAGGCCTGAATGCAGGGCGTATAGAGGCGATATAGGGAGGTGTATATATGTGATAGGTAGGGAGGTGTATATATGTCAGTAATAGGTAGGGAGGTGTATATAGGTCAGTAATAGGTAGGGAGGTGTATATAGGTCAGTAATAGGTAGGGAGGTGTATATAGGTCAGTAATAGGTAGGGCAGAGTACAGGAGTCAGCAGTTTGTAGGGCAGATTATAGGGGTCAGTATGGCATAGGACAGGGTCAATAGAACCGTGCACAGGGGTCAGTAAAACAGTCGATGGTGTCAGTAGAACAGTGTCAGTCAGTAGAGCAGTGAATGGTGTCAGTCAGTAGGGCAGAGGATGATGACAGTTAGTAGTTCAGAGGATGGTGACAGTTAGTAGTACAGAGGATGGTGACAGTTAGTAGTACAGAGGATGGTGACGGTTATTGAGGTAGAGGATGGTGATGGTTAGTGAGGTAGAGGATGGTGACAGTAGTACAGAGGATGGTGACAGTTAGTAGGACAGAGGATGGTGACAGTTAGTAGTACAGAGGATGGTGACAGTTAGTAAGGCAGTGGATGGTGACAGTAAGACAATAGATGGGGGCAGTTAGTAAGGGAGAGGATGGTGACAGTTAGGCAGAGGATGGTGACAGTAAGACAATAGATGGGGACAGTTAGTAAGGGAGAGGATGGTGACAGTTAGGCAGAGGATGGTGACAGTAAGACAATAGATGGGGACAGTTAGTAAGGGAGAGGACGGTGACAGTAGGATTGTGAGTGGTGACAGTTAGTACAGTAGATGGTGACAGTCCGTAAGGCAGTGGATGGTGACAGTAGTGCAGAGAATGGTTACAGTCAGTAGTGTAGTGGATGGTGACAGTTATTAAGGCAGTGGATGGTGACAGTTAGTAGGGCAGAGGATGCTGCCAGTTAGTAGTGCAGAGGATGGTGACAGTTAGTAAGCCAGAGGATGCTGACAGTTAGTAGTGCAGTGGATGGTGTCAGTTAGTAGTGCAGTGGATGGTGTCAGTTAGTAGTGCAGTGAATGCTGACAGTTAGTAATGCAGTGGATGCTGACAGTTAGTAAGGTATTGGATGGTGACAGTTAGTAAGGGAGAAAATGATGTCAGTTAGTGAGGCAGAGAATGGTGACAGTTAGTAGTGCAGAGGTTGGTGACAGTTAGGCAGTGAATGGTGACAGTTAGTAAGGCAGTGAATGGTGACAGTTAGTATGGCAGAGGATGGTGACAATTATTAGTGCAGAGGATGGTGACAGTTAGTAGTGCAGAGGATGGTGACAGTAAGACAATAGATGGGGACAGTTAGTAAGGGAGAGGATGGTGACAGTTAGTTAGGCAGAGGATGGTGACAGTAGGATTGTGAGTGGTGACAGTTAGTACAGTAGATGGTGACAGTTTGTAAGGCAGTGGATGGTGACAGTAGTGCAGAGAATGGTTACAGTCAATAGTGTAGTGGATGGTGACAGTTATTAAGGCAGTGGCTGGTGACAGTTAGTAGGGCAGAGGATGCTGCCAGTTAGTAGTGCAGAGGATGAGGACAGTTAGTAAGCCAGAGAATGCTGACAGTTAGTAGTGCAGTGGATGGTGTTAGTTAGTAGTTCAGTGGATGCTGACAGTTAGTAATGCAGTGGATGCTGACAGTTAGTAAGGTATTGGATGGTGACAGTTAGTAAGGGAGAGAATGGTGGCAGTTAGTGAGGCAGAGAATGGTGACAGTTAGTAGTGCAGAGGTTGGTGACAGTTAGGCAGTGAATGGTGACAGTTAGTAAGGCAGTGAATGGTGACAGTTAATATGGCAGAGGATGGTGACAGTTAGTAGTGCAGAGGATGGTGACAGTAAGACAATAGAGGGGACAGTTAGCAAGGGAGAGGATGGTGACAGTAGTGCAGAGAATGGTTACAGTCAGTAGTGTAATGGATGGTGACAGTTATTAAGGCAGTGAATGGTGACAGTTAGTAGTGCAGAGGATGGTGACAGTTAGTAGTGCAGAGGATGGTGACAGTTTGTAAGGCAGTGGATGGTGACAGTTTGTAAGGCAGTGTGGATGGTGACAAATATTAGTGCAGAGGATGGTGACGGTTAGTAAGGCAGAGGATGGTGATGGTTAGTAAGGCAGAGGATGGTGACAGTTAGTAAGGCAGTGGATGGTGACAGTAGTGCAGAGAATGGTTACAGTCAGTAGTGTAGTGGATGGTGACAGTTATTAAGGCAGTGAATGGTTACAGTTAGTAGTGCAGAGGATGGTGACGGTTAGTACGGCAGAGGATGGTGATGGTTAGTAAGGCAGTGGATGGTGACAGTTAGTAAGGCAGTGGATGGTGACAGTTAGTAAGACAGTGCATGGTGACAGTTAGTAAGGCAGTGGATGGTGACAATTAGTAAGGCAGTGCATTGTGACAGTTAGTAAGACAGTGGATGGTGACAGTTAGTAAGGCAGTGGATGGTGACAATTAGTAAGGCAGTGCATTGTGACAGTTAGTAGTTCAGAGGATGGTGACAGTTAGTAGTACAGAGGATGGTGACGGTTATTGAGGTAGAGGATGGCGACGGTTAGTGTGGTAGAGGATGGTGACAGTAGTACAGAGGATGGACGTAGTACAGAGGATGGTGACAGTTAGTAGGACAGAGGATGGTGACAGTTAGTAGGACAGAGGATGGTGACAGTTAGTAGTACAGAGGATGGTGACAGTTAGTAAGGCAGTGGATGGTGACAGTAAGACAATAGATGGGGGCAGTTAGTAAGGGAGAGGATGGTGACAGTTAGGCAGAGGATGGTGACAGTAAGACAATAGATGGGGACAGTTAGTAAGGGAGAGGACGGTGACAGTAGGATTGTGAGTGGTGACAGTTAGTACAGTAGATGGTGACAGTTCGTAAGGCAGTGGATGGTGACAGTTAGTAGGGCAGAGGATGTTGCCAGTTAGTAGTGCAGAGGATGGTGACAGTTAGTAAGCCAGAGGATGCTGACAGTTAGTAGTGCAGTGGATGGTGTCAGTTAGTAAGGTATTGGATGGTGACAGTTAGTAAGGGAGAGAATGGTGTCAGTTAGTGAGGCAGAGAATGGTGACAGTTAGTAGTGCAAAGGTTGGTGACAGTTAGGCAGTGAATGGTGACAGTTAGTAAGGCAGTGAATGGTGACAGTTAGTAAGGCAGTGAATGGTGACAGTTAGTATGGCAGAGGATGGTGACAATTATTAGTGCAGAGGATGGTGACAGTTAGTAGTACAGAGGATGGGTGAGTAAGACAATAGATGGGGACAGTTAGTAAGGGAGAGAGAGGATGGTGACAGTTAGTTAGGCAGAGGATGGTGACAGTAGGATTGTGAGTGGTGACAGTTAGTACAGTAGATGGTGACAGTTTTGTAAGGCAGTGGATGGTGACAGTAGTGCAGAAAATGGTTACAGTCAGCAGTGTAGTGGATGGTGACAGTTAGTAAGGCAGTGGATGGTGACAGTTAGTAGGGCAGAGGATGCTGCCAGTTAGTAGTGCAGAGGATGAGGACAGTTAGTAAGCCAGAGGATGCTGACAGTTAGTAGTGCAGTGCATGGTGTTAGTTAGTAGTTCAGTGGATGCTGACAGTTAGTAATGCAGTGGATGCTGACAGTTAGTAAGGTATTGGATGGTGACAGTTAGTAAGGGAGAGAATGGTGGCAGTTAGTGAGGCAGAGAATGGTGACAGTTAGTAGTGCAGAGGTTGGTGACAGTTAGGCAGTGAATGGTGACAGTTAGTAAGGCAGTGAATGGTGACAGTTAATATGGCAGAGGATGGTGACAGTTAGTAGTGCAGAGGATGGTGACATTAAGACAATAGATGGGGACAGTTAGTAAGGGAGAGGATGATGACAGTAAGATTGTGAGTGGTGACAGTACAGTAGATGGTGACAGTTCGTAAGGCAGTGGATGGTGACAGTAGTGCAGAGAATGGTTACAGTCAGTAGTGTAATGAATGGTGACAGTTATTAAGGCAGTGAATGGTGACAGTTAGTAGTGCAGAGGATGGTGACATTAGTAGTGCAGAGGATGGTGACAGTTTGTAAGGCAGTGGATGGTGACAGTTAGTAAGGCAGAGGATGGTGACAGTTATTAGTGCAGAGGATGGTGACGGTTAGTAAGGCAGAGGATGGTGATGGTTAGTAAGGCTGAGGATGGTGATGGTTAGTAAGGCAGAGGATGGTGACAGTTAGTAAGGCAGTGGATGGTGACAGTAGTGCAGAGAATGGTTACAGTCAGTAGTGTAGTGGATGGTGACAGTTATTAAGGCAGTGAATGGTGTTACAGTTAGTAGTGCAGAGGATGGTGACGGTTAATAGTGCAGAGGATGGTGACAGTTAGTAAGGCAGTGGATGGTGACAGTTAGTAAGGCAGTGGATGGTGACAATTAGTAAGGCAGTGGATGGTGACAATTAGTAAGGCAGTGGATGGTGACAGTTAGTAAGACAGTGGATGGTGACAGTTAGTAAGGCAGTGGGTGGTGACAGTTAGTAAGACAGTAGATGGTGACAGTTAGTAAGACAGTGGATGGTGACAGTTAGTAAGGCAGTAGATGGTGACAGTTAGTAAGGCAGTGGATGGTGACAGTTAGTAAGGCAGTGGATGGTGACAGTTAGTAAGGAAGTGGATGGTGACAGTTAGTAGTGCAGTGGATGATTACAGTAGTGCAGGGCAGAGGATGAGTGCAGTGATGTTTGTACAGGGGCTCACAGAATAGCAGAAACTTTCCGTACAGAGAAGGGAAGCACCTATGACACACAACTCTTCTTTCTCTTAGCATGCTGATCCCGGCCGGCTCTCCTCCCTCGGTCATCCCCTGTGATGTCACTCACAGGCACCTTGTAGAGAAGGGCCGACTGGGATCAGCGCAGCATACCAGGATAGTTCCTCCCTGCGCTGCTCTGCAATGTGGGAGGAGCAGTCTGGGGTCGGCAAAGCAGGACCGCCGATCTACACATCACCTGTCCCATGATTGATGGGTTGCCGACCTATGCTTTAAATATCTAAGCCATATTGTTGGATAGTGTTTGGAACAGGTTTGAACTCCTGTCAGGTTTTTATTGTGGATATTGTGAATACTGGTGACACAGGATGGGTTTGGTACAGGGTACAGGGCAGGTTCAGGCGCACAGAAAAAGGTGGGATTAAATAGTGTCCCTACAGCCAATTTTAGGTGTTGCCTAACCATTAAAGTGCTACTAAACCCAAAAGCAAACATTTAATTTATTGCAGCTTACCAGTTCTTAAGCGTGTTGCTGCATTAGTTTTCTTTTTTTAGGCTTTCTTTCCTATATTTTCATCTGGTGATCCAGCCATTCTGTCTGTTGTTTTTCAACAGAACTAGCTGTCCTACAGATGTAGCAGTAGAGGGTTGACACAAACCATTTACCACTGATAGGGGTAATACAATTTTAATTATCCAGTGCTTCAGATTTTATTCATTTATGTAAAACCTTGATCCCAAAAGGAAACAATGTTGCTGTAACAGCTAAAAAAGTGTGAACCTTGAATTTGACTTCAATTTGTTACTGTATCTAAATCTTGTATTGCATCTAACAATCCTCCCCTCCCCCCAGACTGACAATGCTGCTTTCCAAAGGAGTCGCTGCTGCTCCCTCATTCAGAGTGCAGGCAGGAGGTGTGTTACTGGCCAGATCACAATAAGAAAAAAGCCAATAAAAAAGAAAACTAATGCTGCAATATGTTACATTTTAGGTTTTGGGTTTAATACTGCTTTAAAGAGCAGCTCCAGTCGTATTTCTGAATATTAAAAGTCAGGAGCTACAAAAACTGTAGCTGCTGACTTTTAATAAAACACACAGTCACCTGTCCCAGGATCCTGCGATGTGCTCACCTGAGCCAGTTTCTTCACTAATCACATGTAACCTCCCAAAAAAAAAAAACCTCTCTGCAATACACACCAAACTGAACATGTCCAGAGTGCCTGCTAGGGCTCTTTACTATCAGCAAATGGATTTGGGACTATGAATGAAAGGGTGGATCAGAGAAGTCAGGATCAAACAGCCTTTTTACACAATGCAGAGGATTACCCCCTTGGGTTCCACAGTGAGTATAACCAGCATGCTTTACTGCATATACAGACTGATTTTACTGTTGTGAGTTTAGTAACACCTTAAAGTGGAAATGCACTGCATCTGAGCACCACAAACCAAAATTGCTATTTAATTCATTATTAATATTCAAAGCAAACTCCTCCTTCCATCCATGTCTTCATGCTTTTATTTTGCTGAGAAATCATTTCGAAAAAATGCCCCCTGGAATTTCTGGCCATGGCCATCTTGAGTTAGGGCAGATGATTCATGTAGCATTTACTTCTTGGAATCCATCTGCCCTTAGCTCAGGCATTGGCTTAGCTGAAAACCCTATCTCCCCTCCTCAAGACTCCTGGGATGTATGACATCATTTCCCAAGGCATGGAAACCAGGAAGAAACTGAAGAAATGTAAAAAAAAAAGGTTAAAAACAAGTAAATATGATATACTTTACCATCTACACTACTAAATGATCAAACGTTTGTGGTCACCTGTTAATCTCACATACTACGGTATATGGCATAAATTATGTGACACCCCCTCCTAATTATTGAGTGCAGGTGTTACTGTTACAGCATACAAAGAAATATTAAACTACTATGTGCTTCCAGCCTTGTGATGGCAGTTTTAGGACGTGAGGACGTGACTGTGCCCAAATGTCTGGTCTAAAATGATATAGTTTGATGAGCTTGGTGTGGAGGAACCTGTGTTGCCCTCACAAACCTATTGAAACCTATTCTTTGGGATATACTCAAATGCCTATTGTGTGCCAGACCTTCTCGTTCATTCTCAGTACTAGACCTCATAAATGCTGTTTTTACTAAATGGGCCAAATTCCCACAGCAACGCTTTCAAAGTGTTTTTCAGTTGTGTATCAATGCTCATGGTTTTGGAATGGCATATTGAACAAACTTGTATATTGTAGGTGTGATGGTCAGGTGTCCACAAACATTTGATAATATAGTGTATTTACTAATGCCAGCAGCATAAGGATTGAAAATAGTCAAAGTTGATTTGAGTAAGTGCAGTTCCACTTCTAACTGGGAAACACCTGCTGGTGGACACTTGAATTACAATATTTTAGTCTGAGGACCACAGGGCCACCAAAAAGTGTTCTGGCCATTCTGCATGTTCCTGAAACCTCTAAATTCTACATGTCTCCCCAATGCAGGACAAACAATAAAAATACCGTCTAACTGACAGTGTGCATGTACCCTCCTGCTTATTAGAAATTGCATTTTCTGTATCGGTTTCTAAGTAGTGAATATTCAGTTTGCTAAGTAAACAGTTTCTGCTCCATTAGTAAATCAGCTCCTGTCAAACAAAATCACAAGTGTAATGGTGTAGCCAGCCTGTCACAATCGTTTTATAATAATTTCTAAATGGTTTCAACGTGCTTTACATGATTTCATTAACTTAAATTCATAACAGGGCTTGAACAGGAGATTATTGCAGTCTAAGGCCCCTTTCACACGGGTGATCTGATCGGGTCCGCTTGTCTATTTTTTTTTTTTAATGGACTTGATTGGAAGGTCCATTCAGACCTATGGATGGGTGGGTATGTAAACAGACTTGTGTCCATTAACCTCCCTAACGGTATTCCCGAGTGTAGCTCGGGGTAAAATGTCTGTACTAAAAGCGGTAACCCCGAGCTACACTCGGGCTTACCATGCGGCGCTGCATAGGGAGTCCCTGCAGCACTTACCTTGTCCTTGGCTCCCACGATGTGTCCCCTGCAGCGTCCCCGGCCATCTCCCCTTCGGCGGATGCCGGCATCCGCCTCCTGTGTTCCGGTCCCTGTGACGTCGGGACGTACTGGCGCCGGCGGGAAATTTGAAAATTTGTCATTTTTTTCAAAACGATTTTACATAGTAAAACATTGCTGTTTCAACCCATTTCACATACATTTTGTCCCTAGTGCTTTGTCCTGTCCCCTGTCTGCATTTTGATTGTTCTTTTTGCCTGGAAACTTAGAAAAGTCCATGGCGTCCAAAAAGTGTCCCGTTAGGTCAAAAAGCGGGTTTAGATCAGCTAGAGAACAGCGATAGTAAATCAGAACCACTTGCAGAATTGAGTTATAATGATTTGTGGGGAAATTCATCATCTGACACTGAAAACAATTTTGTGACTTTGCTCAGCGATGTGCGAACTTGGCGCTATATTTCAAATTTCAGTGTTTTTGGTTTGATTATATTATTGAATTAAATGTATGATTTGGAATCTTGTTCAGACAGATTTCAGTGAGTTATTCCTAAAAATTACAGCCTACAATAAAAAAACTACATATTTCCATGCAAAATAATGGTACCGCTTTCAGCACCAAAAATATGAAATAATCATACCGCTAGGGAGGTTAATGTACACCCAGCTACCTCTGGTCCAATCTGGTCTGCTTAAAAAAAGAAAAGGAGGGTCCGTCCTCTTCCTTTTAGGTCAATCAGATTGGAGGGTAGGCGGGTATTAATGGGTAGCAGAGTCCTTTTACATCTGGCCACCCATAGAGCCTATAAACTGCATGGACATGGACCTGTCATCCACCCGCTCTGCTTCAATCAGCAAATCCTCTGCTGACAGGGATGGAATCCACCTCATTTGAAATGGTCCTAATACAATAGAACCTGATAATATTTAATAAGAATGTGAAATATATGCTTGGTATTTTTCAGAGCAGCTAAAAGATTTGCTCAGCTATTTGTGAATGTGAATGTCACCTCCGAAATACAGCATGTTTTCTGTTCTGTGGTTCCTGTGGTACACAAAACTTTGTGGAGGAACAGATCGCATGTTTTCTGTGGACAATGGAGGCCAGGTAACAAATCTTTTATCTAATATGTTAAAGAAACAGTCATATGCTGGCAATGACTATGCTATGCGAAGTATTAAAAGTAATAACAAAATCACATGCAGAGATCAGCAAGCTAGTAAAGTTCGATTCACTGAATGTTTGCCGAACCCAGCAGAAAATTTTTGAACTCCCAATCATAACACCCAAACCCCATTAACGTCTATATAATTTTTTTCTGGCCGTTTTAAAAGACAAATTTGCATGCTTTTTTTTAAAAAAAGGAAGGGAAAGTGAGGCACTGTCATGGGGGACAGGTACAAATGTAAAAAAAATTAAATAATAGTAACATTCAATGGGAGCAGGTCTTTTAATATGGCTTAAAAGACAATATAAAAAATACAATATTCCTTTAAATACACAATTCCTGCATGTCTTAAACCTGCACATGAAGCTGCTCATATATATTATGTACTCCAGCACAAGTGACATTAAGAAAGAAAAAAATATTTGTGATAAATGACATTTCCTGGCTGTCTTGTTCTATTGGTAAAAAATGTGTGGGGTCCTCCTCAAAAATCCTAGGTAAGGGTCTGGTATAAAGTTTTGAGGAGGAACCCATGCCATTTTGTCAACTAAGGGACAAATACACATTGTTTACAAAAAATGTTTTTGCGCCATTTTCTGAAAAATGAAAAAAAAAAAAATCAGCATGAGGTTCCCTTCAAGATCCATACCAGATCCCGATGGTTGGCTAGAAAAGAGAGGGGTATCGAATATGTCCTGAACCATACCAGTCAATATGTCCTCAACATTAAGGGGATGCAAAGCCTCCCTCCCCTTCAGAGCACCTTGTTCTTATGTTGCTGGCATTAAATGTCTCATCTCCATATCCCTGGTCTGGTTTTGGGGGAGGACTTATTGGAATTTGGATGTTCTCTTTAAGGTATGGGGCCAACAAATTTCTTGCTTTTCCCCCCCTACATGAATGAATAATGGGTACCCCCATTAGAGGCTCTGACAAGTGGAAGGAGACAGCACACTCTCCCAACAAAAAGAGGTGGTGCTTTGGTGGCCTGATGGGGAGTTTGCCATTTGAAGCTCTTTTTGGAGGAATACCCTGGTTGACCCTGTGAGCGTTTCCTATGCAAGGACCGATTGCAGCACCTGCTGGATTTATCATGCTGCTTATGTTGACCGACCTGTGTGGCGGTCAAGACTTTTGGTAAGAGGCTGATCTATTTGGGTGTATGGTGGTGGTCCACTTCTTGAATTGGAACCCCTTTCCTTTGCACGGCTCTTCATTTCTTTGTACGGGAAACCTACATGGACTTTGTTGTCATCTACATTATTGTGTATGGGACTTTATGTTTTAACTATAGGAGAGTTAGTTGCATGAGGCCTAAAAATCAGGTTTGATTCAATTGACCAATTTGCCTCCCAGCTTTCATTATTTTAACTACATTTATCAATATTACTTTTTTTCCTGCTATAGACATTTTAGAGGGTAGCTGAGCAAGTGAACAGAACCTGTAATAGTAAATTCTAATTTTGCAGTTCTGTCTACAATCTGAACATTGATGCAGTGATTACAAGGAAGATGGAAGTTTTTGGTAGTGACAAAAATGCATGTCTAGCTGCACACATCGCTTTTTGGTAAATGGGCTGTGGAGATCTTGCTGCATTGTGGTAGAATAGTAATAGGAGCCAGGGATGAGTAAGTAGCACAAATTTTCTCAGTAGCACAGGCTGCTATTATATGACTAACAGCACCATAAGAAAGTCACTCAGGACACTATCCAGTATCTATGAAAGAGGCACTGCAGGGAAGATACAGTATTTAACAGAAGCAGACATCTCTACACTCACCGGTCACTTTATTAGGTACACCTTGCTGGTGCCAAGAAAATATCCCCCACACCATTATACCACCACCAGTCTGAACCGTTGATAGAAGGCAGGATGGATTCATGCTTTCATGTTGTTTACCCCAAATTCTGATCCTACCATCTGAATGTTGCAGCAACCAGTCTGCCCATTTTCCTCTGACCTCTGACATCAACAAGGCATTTTCGTCCATACAACTGCCACTCACTGGATATTTTCTCATTTTCTGACCATTCTCTGTAAATCCTAGAGATGGTTGTGCATGAAAATTCCAGTAGATCAGCAGTTTTTGAAGTACTCAGACCAGTCCACCTGGCACCAACAACCATGCCACATTCAAAGTCACTTAAATCCCCTTTCTTCCCTATTGTGATGCTCAATTTGAACTTCAGCAAGTTGTCTTTCACCATGTCTAGATGCCTAAATGCATTGAGTTGCTGCCATGCAATTGGCTGATTAGAAATTTGAGTTAACAAGCAATTGAACAGGTGTACATAATAAAGTGGCCAGTGAGTGTATGTATACACACACATAACTAATGTGTTTGGGGCTGCATCCTAAAAAAAAACAACAACTTCAGCTTTAAATCTAGATATACTCTTATGGAAATGCACATCATTAGAAATATGATACAAAATGTCCTATTAGAGGCAGTCCCCGGGTTATGAACAAGATACAGAACGTAGGTTCGTTCTTAAGTTGAATTTGTATGTAATTTGAAACTTAAAGTAAATTTTTTAAGTGTACCTCCAGCCAAAAATAATTTTTACGTTTTATGGATAGCATAGGGAAGAGTAACACCCCTGTAATGATTATTTTGCTGTCTGTGCCCTTGTTCAGAAGATTTCACCTCAATTTCTGTCCCTGTGACAACTGAATTTTGAAAATTTTGAGTTGTCATGGAAACAAACATTGGTGGTAAAGCTTCAATAAAGACACCTTTTTCCTATGATAACTCTTACAGGAGTGAATGTCCACTCCTAGGGCTAGATTTCCTCTCACTTCCCGCTTCTTCCTCCATTCGTAAGTACGAGTCATCTGTAACTTGAATGTTCGTAACTCAGGGACTGCCCTGAAGTGCCATTATAATATAATACTGCAGTCACCCTAGGAGTCTCTTCAACCAAGGTACCCACAGAATGAAAATATTGGTGATGCTAAGATTGAAACCTACCTCCTGTGCATCATGTACAACTGGGCCTCAGAAAACTGTTAAGAAGCATTGTGCAATGCATTGATTAGATACATTTGGAGCATTTTCTCTGCAGCCACATTTTGCAAAATCAGGTTGTTGAATACAAGTTTTCTTGGGTTTTGTAGGTTCCTGGAGTACCTTGTAAAGTAAACATAATATACAAGCAGTAAGGTACAAACGTAAAAGGAGCATAAGGGTAATATGAAAGTCAGATAAAAGTAATTATTTCATTTCTTTAAGGAAAGGAAGTTTATTGGAGGAGCAGGACAAATAAGTGAGAAGATAATGGAGCTTCTTCAGGATCGAGTCAAGCTTCAAAGACCAGTAGTCAGACTTGACCAGTCTGGGGAAAATGTCACTGTGGAAACCTTAAACCATGAAACCTATCATGTAAGTGTATACATTTCCCATAATCTGTATCCTGCTATATAACTGGTTTTTTACATGAAGGTATCAAATACCTAGATGAGTGAAACTAATGACCACAAATATGAGTAAAATTACACAGGTTTTAAGTTTGGAGAAGTTTTTGTGTCCAAACCACTCAATGACTACACAAAATGGCTTTTTTTTGACTTAACATTGTATTCTGTCAGAAATATTGAAAAGACCGAATATTTTTGGAGGCTAGATAGAGGGCATATTTATGCAGTATAATTGAAATTATGCAATGTCATGTTGCTGCTTTCACCACAGTTTGTGCTTTGCCTTGATCACAATCATAGTTTTAGAAAAAGGTCAGTTGCAGATCAGAAGGAATTTACCTGGAGGTCAAATGCATCTGTGAATGAACTCAGATGGAGCTCTGAAGTGTCTCCTATTGATTTTAAGCACACGCTGAATGTACAAGAAGGTATACAGCATTGGCCCTTCTACACAATTCCTAAGAATGATAGAGAAAGGCACATTAGGGTTGTTGCAGTACTACCTACTAGTAATTGGCATATTATGTGACAGGATGTGGGAGTAGATCTTGCCTACTTTCTAAAGGATAAATTCACCTTTTAAAAAAAAAATAATAAATGCACATCTTTTTGCAGATAAAAAATGTGCATTTATAATTTTTTTTACTTGGAGCCTAGAAAGCATTGCACCAGATCCTCAGCAGATCTTGGGTGCCATGCAGGACTCCTGCAGACTTGTCAGTGTATCTGTGTGCTCGAACCTCATATTACCAGGCAGACACACACTTACATGAAGAAAGAATGTACCACCACAGCATTCAAAAGTGCCTTGGTAGTTCATTGAGAACTACAAGCCAACAACCTCAAAGACTGTTGGTTCTTGTAGTTTTCCATTCACAGAATTCTGTGAATGAATGATGCCGTCGTGTGGGTGGAGCCCTACGCGGCTGCATTATTTTTATAATAGTGACAGCTAGTGGGGGGAGAAGATATCCAGATGCAGAGGAGCAGGCAGCGGCTCTGGCAGTGGGAACTTATTACAGGTGGGACATGTAACATGTTCCCAAAGGTGAACTTATCATTTATTAAAAAACAAAATGTTTTTGTATTGTGAACAAATGGCCTGTCTGTTTGTTCACTACTAAAAATGATGTAGGTATAAATCAACTTCTGGAAAAGGACTTTTAAAGAACAGTGACATGCTACTATTGATGAGGGTTCATGGTCAGCAAGTAAGAGGTCCATAGAGCCCCTTACCAGCTTAACTGAAGAAATAAACAATATTTCACAGGTTTTTATTGAAAAAAATATAGAAGCAAATTTGGTAGAAAAGGCCACTTCCTCTAGAGTGGAAAGTATTTCTATTCTCAACCAGTTGACAATTTTTATATATGCCATAAGGCAGGGGTGTCAAACTCAATTTCATTGCAGGCCACATCAGCATTATGGTTGCCCTCAAAGGGCTGGCTGTATCTCTAAGACTAGCTGTTCAGAGCACAGTCCCCCCCCTTAAATCAGATATCAAAACTCCCCCCCACCATCAGAAGTCAAGAGTCCCCCACCCTCCCTTACATCACAGTGCACCCCCTTACCTTGTGCTGCTGCAGGGAAGAAGCTGGGTGCAGAGCTTGGAAGCAGAAAGTGTAGGGTCAGGAGGAGGACCTAAGGAGGGCTGGAGTCAGCTGCCGGAGTCTGCTGAATGCTGAGACCAGGGGATGCAGAGACCATGGGGTGATTCAGCTGAACAGAGAGGCACATGATCTGTAGGAGGAGTTCTGTCCTCCTGTCTGATGCCGACTGCTGAGACGGGAGGGGTAGGGGAGACAGAGATGAAGGAAGTGCTGCAGCTGCAGGAGTGGTGCGAAGGCCACATGAAATGGTCTAGCAGCCGCATGTGTGCTTTACACAAGTGCCGTAAGTGATATTTTACAATGTGTAGCAAAGTGAAATATCTGAAAGGAAACATTGATAACTAGTGCCTTACCAATATAAGAACTGTTATTCACCTTGATAAATGGTGGGAGGCCATAAAAAAACTTTATTGTATGTCATCTCTGGCAGTTTTCTGTGACAAATGCAAAAACAATCTTAACTAGAAAAGCTACAATTTCTGGGGAAATTGTGTGAAGTGTTCTTGCCTCCACCAGTAGTCTACAACTGGAGTGGGCGGAGTAACTGGGTGGAGTGGCTTGAGTAACTGTTGTGTGGTTGGAGTGGCTGGAGTAACTGTGAAAAGGTTGGACTGGGCAGAGTAACTTTATGGAGTGGGCAAAGTAACTGTGTGGAGTGTTTGGAGTGAGTAAAGATAGTAAACGTTACACTAACCAATTGATTGATCAAATTTAAAAAGTGCACATGGCAAGCTTGATAGAATGAGAAATGCATTTCAACTTTTAATTATTTATATAGCACATTTAGTTGCAATGTTGTTGCCCAAAGTGCTTCACAGTTACATTAAAACATACATTTATAAAAACATTAGCAGCATTATCACCTCAAATACTCTCTACTGTAGAAAACTTATGTCCAAACCTTCACCAGAAGCCAGCCAAACTGTCACAAATTCAAAATTAGATTTTAAATAGGAATGAGAAGAGTGGTTAAAAACAAACTGCTCCAAATTGCTCACTTCACTGGCGCCTTCAAATGGTCGTAGTTTTAAAAACTATAAATCCTACAGCGAAGAGCTTTATATTGTGAGAATCACAAGACCCAGACCTACATTTTGATGCATAGTATGTCTCTGAAATATTAAACATGAAGGTACAGTCGCAGTTTAGAAATTGCCCTTCAAATTTGAGGTGACTAGAGTGCAGTTTCAATTAATGTCAATGGGCGGCGTGAGTTGCAAACAAATGGTCATATTGTGAAAACTATCAGGACTATGGCTTAGCCGTGGGCATTTTCAGTGGCAGCAGGGATAGCTGAACGTTTTGATATACGATTTGTGTAGGTGGGCTTGAAAATGAGGGAGTGATGGCAGTTTAGAAATCCTGATTTTTCAGCTCACACTCTAGCTTTTGTCAGCTCCCACTCTAGTTTTGAACATTGTGCCATTCATTCCTATGAGACCAATTTCACCACAAAAACGCCGATATTTCGTGAACCATTAGGCGAAATGTTCCACAAAGTAATAGCACACCAATCGGGAACAATCCACACGTTTCGGTATATTACTGTCTATGTAGTGTAAAAACTGTGGGAGGAGTTAGGGTGGTAAATTTGGCTATAATAATAAGAATATATATGTGAGATAACAGTAAGTGGTCTTGCCATGCAAGAACACTTAATTAAGTGTTCTTGCAAGAACACTTATTGTTATCTCACAAATATATTCTTATTATTATAGCTAAATTTACCATGCTAACTCCTCCCACAGTTTTTACACTACAAAGACAAGTAATATATCAAAACGTGCGGATTGTTCTCGATTGGATTGCTATTACTTTGTGGAATGTTTCGCCGAATGGTTCACAAAATATCTCTGTTTTTGTGGTGAAATTTTCCCATAGGAATGAATGGAGCAACTTCAGTGGGAGCTGACAAAACTATAGTGTGGAAGGAAAAATCAGGACATGATTTCTAAACTGCCATCACTCCCTCATTTTCAAGCCCACCTACACATATCTTATATCAAAACGTTCAGCTATCCCTGCTGCCACTAAAAATGTCCACGGCTAAGCCATAGTCCTGATAGTTTTTCACAATATGACCATTTGTTTGCAACTCTCGCCGCCCATTGACATTCATTGAAACTCCACTCTAGACACCTGAAGTTTGAAAGAAACATTTCTAAACTGCGACTGTGCCTTCATTTTTAATATTTCAGAGACATACTATTCATCAAAATCTAGGTCTGGGTCTTGTGATTCTCACAATATAAAGCTCTTCGCTGTAGGATTTATACTTTTAAAACTACAACCATTTTAAGATGGCAACCACCAGTGAACTGAGCAAGTTGGAGCAGTTTGTTTATAAAAGTTCCTCTCAGCTTGCACTAGAGTGAGTTGCCATAGGAACCCAGCTGTGTCAGCAGCCAGCAGAGTGACCAAAGCTACTCCGCCCACTCCAGTTGTAGACTACTGCTGCAGGCAAGAATACTTCACACAATTTCCCCAGAAATTGTAGATTTTCTACTTCTTATTCTTATTATTATAGCCAAATTTACCACCCTAACTCCTCCCACAGTTTTTACACTACAAAGACAGTAATATATCAAACCGTGCGGATTGTTCCCGATTGGTGTGCTATTACTTTGTGGAACGTTTCGCCAAATGGTTCAAGAAATATCGCCGTTTTTGTGGTGAAATTGGTCCCATAGGAATGAATGGCGGAATGCTCAAAACTAGAGTGGGAGCTGACAAAAGCTAGAGTGTGAGCTGAAAAATCAGGACATGATTTCTAAACTGCCATCACTCCCTCATTTTCAAGCCCACCTACACATATCTTATATCAAAACGTTCAGCTAACCCTGCTGTCACTAAAAATGTTCACGGCTAAGCCATATTCCTGATAGTTTTCACAATATGACCATTTGTTTGCAAACTCACCCCTCCCATTGACTTTCATTGAAACTTCACTCACAGCCACCTGAAATTTGAAGGGACATTTTTAAACTGCGACTGTGCCTTCATTTTTAATATTTCAGAGACATACTATGCATCAAAATTTACAAGTGTTTGAAGATGGCAATCGCCAGTGAAGTTGGCAAGTTGGAGCAGTGTGTTTACAAAAGCCTGTCAGCTTTCTGTGACTGACTGAGTGAGTTGCCATAGCAACCAAAGATGACTCACCAGGCAGCTGAGTCACCAAGGCTGGACTGTGAGCTGCAAAATAAAAGTTGAAATGCATTTCTCACTCTATCAGGCTTGCCATGTGCACTGCTTACATTTCATCAATCACTTGGTTAGGGTTGGTTGCAAGAACACTTCACACAATTTCCCCAGAAATTGTAGATTTTCTAGTTAATAATATATTGTTGTTATTTTAAAGTGTAAGTATTGGCAGATAAAAAAGACCTCATTTATTCAGGGATGGAATAAAAATAAGAAACATTTTTTTTTAATTATAACCTCTAACTATATTTATATGGACTAGTATTCAGGGAGGAGTGGTATAGGCCAGTCAGTGTTGTGAATTTTAAATATGAAGCTTGCTGATTGAAGCACAAAACACAGGGACGACCTCACCAATAAGCTTCTGTTCTTTCACACTCCAATCCTAGCTTTGACCGTACTGCATCACAGTGTTTCTCAACCATTTTTTCAATTTGGGTAACTTTTAACCACTTGCCCTCCAGAGGATTTATCCCCCTTCTTGACCAGGCCATTTTTTGTGATAGGGCACTGTGTTACTTTAACTGACAATTGCGCGGTCATGCAGCACTGCACCCAATTGAAATTTATATTCTTTTTTTCCCACAAATGGAGCTTTCTTTTGGTGGTGTTTGAACACCTCTGGTTTTTTATTTTTTGCGCTATAAAAAAAAAAACAATTTTGAAAAAAAAACAATATTTTTGACTTTTTGCTAAAAAACACATCCAGTAAAAAAAAATTAATAAATCAAAATTTCTTCATAAATTTAACCCAAAATGTATTCTGCTACATGTCTTTGGTCTTTGCTAATCAAATTTCTTCATAAATTTAGCCCAAAATGTATTCTGCCACATATCTTTGTACATGTAAATTAATTGGTTTACGTGAAAGTTCTAGTGTCTACAAATGGTGGTATATATACTGGAATTTAATTTTTTTTAAAATATTAATAAATGCGGCAATCAGCGACTTATAGTGGGACTGCGGCGGGCATTCTGACACTGGGGGGAACTGACTAACTGCTACTGACATCCCAATGACACTAATACAGAGATCACTGCTAATAAAAAACACTGACACTGTACTAATGACATTGTGAAGGAAAGGGTTAACATTTGAGGCGATCAAAGGGTTAACTGTGTGCTGTGTTACAAAGTATGCTGTTTTACAAAGTGTGCTGTGTGTGTTTTACTTGGGAAACATACTGCTGTGTATTTCTCTGCTGTGCTTGGGCACCATGGTTGAAAAATGGCTGCTGTATTACATTGACTACAGTGGAGAAAGGTAAAAGATCAGGACCTGGGTATGTTCTGAATGAAAAAAAAAACACAGGTTGAATGGGAAAACAGACAATCCTTCAGCAAATAACAGTTAAAACTTATGTATATTTATCTAGCCGTTTGCTTACAGATACACTTTGAAACTGTTACATTTCCAAACCACAGATGTTGATTACATTTTTTAGTCAATTTTATAGTAGACACAGTTGCTCCTCTATATTTATATAACAGCATGATCACACTTTAAATATTGCTGACATGCTGAAGCTGTTCAGATCTAGAAAATTAGATTCTTTAGACTTCATGCACATAAGGTATCAAAAACCTGTTTATGTTTTAGAGGGAGGGAGGAGTGTTTAGAGGGAACAAAACCAAGGCCAGAGCGTTCAGAAGAGGAGCGTTTCAGGGAAAAAATGCTTGATGTACCTAAACGCATTTAACCGCGACTTAGCCCTAGGAGCGTTTAGCGCTTGAATTTTCATTTCAATGGCCAGCATTTGGCCAAGGGAGTGATTAACACCCAAGAGCTTGATGCGCTTACATTTGCCTAAACGTGTTTACATAATGTGGCTTTAAGTGCCATTTTAATGCTTAGTTTTCCTCCCTTGAAGCAAGAGGAAAAAATGTCCAGTGTTTATTAGGGCTTATGTTGAAAAAGAAGTAAGGTCTCTGCAGACTGGAAGGTCTTGTTTTGTACACTGTTAGTGATCCATGTACAGGTACTTTACAACCAGGACTACAGCAATGTACCATTCAATGCTTCAGTCGGTCCTGAATACGGCTGCCAGACTCATTCACCTTTCCAACCACTCCGTTTCCGCCACCCCCCTCTGCCAATCCCTCCACTGGCTTCCGATCGCGCAACGGATCAAATTCAAAATCCTAACATTGACGTACAAAGCCGCCCACCATACTGCCCCGAACTACATCACTGACCTAATATCCAAGTACCCGCCCAGCACGCACACTCCGCTCCTCACAAGACCTCCTTCTCTCTAGTTACCTGGTCTCCTCCTCCCATGCCCGCCTGCAGGACTTCTCCAGGGTGTCACCCATCCTCTGGAACTCCCTGCCCCAACCCATCAGATTATCACCTACTCTCCTCTCCTTTAGGCGCACCCTGAAAACCCATCTCTTCAGGGAAGCCTACCTTAACCCCCTGCTAACTTGACCGACCTCCTCCACTATTCCTACCACTCCATCCCCCACAGCTATCTCCTCCTGTACCACTATCCCCTCCCTCCTAGATTGTAAGCTCCAAAGAGCAGGGCCCTCAATCCCCTCATGTTTTGCATTGTATTGGTATTGTTCTGTCACATGTTCTGTCCCCCTTTGTAATGTACAGCGCTGAGCGAACTATTGGCGCTTTATAAATACTGTATAATAATAATAAAATAATAATTCAGCCATGGATAGACTAAAAATCTCAGTAACCTGTGTACAGTCTTATGTGGTATGGGAAAATGGGAAGTATTGTAATTGAGGATGTTGTACTTTGTAAGGGGAAGTTCACAAGGTTCAGTTTCTAGGCATGTAGACTAAACACAATGTGAAATGTGCAGTTGCTTAACAGCTGTGGTGAGGGGTTAATATATAATTAAAGTGTCTTTCATTTGCAGCAGACTAAACTCCTGATCCATGAAACAGCACTTTCAAAAGTGGCAAATCAAGAAATATTACTACATGTGATAATGCTGCTTGATATATGATTGGAAGCTATAACGAGCAGGGCCCTCTGTTTCCTCTTGTACCAAATTGTATTGTAACTGTAATGTCTACCTTCATTTTGTAAAGTGCTGCGCAAACTGTTGGCGCTATATAAATCCTGTATAATAATAATATAATAATTTATCAAAGATGAAAAAGTGTATCACAGTATTAACACTAGATATTTTTAATGTATGCAATTTAACATGGCCTTGCTAAACAATAAATTGGTGAGTTTGGTGATCTTTTAAAGAATAAACAGACTAAATTGTAAGATATAGAAATTTTAAATCAGATGACAGTTCCAACCCCCTTTCTGGAATAATCCCACTAATTCACCCAAACAAGAATACACTGACTTCAGATATATCTTAAGGGCCCCATCTAGAAATCAGGGGTATGGTCCTATAGCAAAATTTCTGATGCCTTAAACAGTAAAAAAAATGCACATTTAGGCTGCTTTCACAGTGCTCTATTGAAAAAATGTATGAAAAATGCATGTGTTTTTGATGCATTTACAGTGCATTTTCTGGTTGCCTGACTCCTAGCATGCACCTGTGAGGCAACTGCAGTGCAATTTTGATGCATATGCTTTTCATATTGATGGGGAGGTGCCTTTTTGGTGTGGTTTTGAAAAGCATACCAAAGATGCAGCATGCAGGACAGTAGGACACCAGCACAGTGGTGTGAATAGTCCCAAAGGATTTAAAGGATTTGCACAGTAAGTGAAGAAAAAAATTAGTAGGAGAGTTCAGTTACATAACCTGTCAAAGTGTCTCTGCTCCAATCATTGCAGCCTTAAAGTGATTCTAAAGCCTGAAGGTTTTTTACCTTAATGCATTCTATGCATCAAGGTAGAAAATCTTCTGTGTAACAGAATGCCTCCCATACTTACCTGAGCCCCATCGTGATCCAGCATTGTGCATGAGAGCTGCGGCTCTCCTGGCTTTGCCCCTCTTCACTGGGCAGATTGATAGCAGCAGGAGCTATTGGCTTCCGCTCCTGTCAATCAACTCCAGTGACAAGGGAGTGAGGGGTGGGGCTGATTTCCACTGTCCATGTCAATAGACACAGCAGCAGGACTCGGGAGTGTGCCCGCATAAGTGCCCCTGTGGAAATCTACTTCCTGTTGGAGGCACCAGCAAGAGAGGAGGAGCCAGGGGCGCCGGCGAGAGACTCGGGCTGCTCTGTGCAATTCAATTGCACAGAGCAGGTAAGTATAGACATGTTTGTTATTGTAATTCCTTTACAACCGCTTTAAGTAGAGAGAAGTCCATGGGACACCACAGGCACCGTGGAGTAAACACTGCAGTGTCAAGCAACGGTATCTCCTCAGCTCTGTAAATAAGCCCCTAAAACATCATTACTCAAACTACATTTTTTACCTTGTTTCTTTGCAGTGGTACTATGAAATTAAAGGCACACTTTAAGTATATTACACATCAGAAATTATTTTAGTAATCATTAAAGCATCATTTAAAAATGATTACATATATACTTTTAGGTATAGGATTTAATGACAAATGCTAATATAATTGTTTTTTTAATGTTTGCTTTCTTTCAGGCCAAGTATGTTATCAGTGCTATACCGCCAGGTCTAACTACCAAAATCCATTTCAATCCAGAGTTGCCAGCCACTAGAAATCAGCTAATACAGAGACTTCCCATGGGATCTGTTATAAAAACCATGATGTACTACAAGGAATCATTTTGGAGAAAACTGGGTAAACAGTCAATTAAAAAGTCTAGTTTACTGTGAGCTATAGATGAGATTTTTTTTTTATATTATTGGTACAAGTTAATTTTCGGTTATATAGATTTAGATTTATAAAGTTGAACTCCGAACAACATTAAAGCTACCCATGAAAAACAAAAAAATTAAACGTGTTTAACATTCAGTTAGCACAAACATCTACATTTGTTTTGGTAGCAATCTCTGGTAATCCCCTGCAGAGTAAAGTTTACACTGGGAAAAGGAGAGTCAGCACTCTGAACCAATTGTGTCTCTATTGCTTAGCACGGGGCTGTCATTTTAACATTATAAATGTGCCTATTGCAATGACACAATCAATGTGTTGCTGCTTCACTATCCAGAAGCAGCAGGGACTGTATTGCGTAATTACAGTGCAGCCTGCAAGAAGGATACACACATGACTGTGCTGTCTGATGAAAGCTTTTTAAAGGCTAAGTTGACTTTAAAAAAAAAAAATAAAACCCATCTCACCTACGCACCAATATACCATTAATGTGCTTCAGTTGTAAAAATATTCAAACTCTCTATGATCTGGAGAGCAAGGCCTTACTTTAGCCCTTGGAAAATTTCTTAGAAAGCTTTTTCAATTCCTGGAATGTAGACAGAGGCAGAGGAGCCAGTAGGACCCCTGAAGCAGATTACCAGATGATTTCATTAGCCCACACCCTTCACCCCTCAACTATTTTTTCACAGCATCCCAGGGTTATCTCCCCACATGCATTTGCCTGGCCACCCCAGCATCCCTTCAGATGGGCTCAGGATGCATGCAGCCCACGGGACACCCCTGATGTAATGAAAGCCTGCTTGATCAGATATAGAGTGATTGGATAGATGCTGTGCCTTCTGTTATATAGTTTTGGTAAATCTAAAGAGGATTGTACAATCAGATTGTATAGTGTATGGCCACATTTATACACCTAGAATTAACTAGTTGCACTTTCAGTGTCATTAATTGTTAACGGCGCACCAAACACAGAAACAAGCACACATTTTGCCATATAAAAAAAAAACTGATGACAAATGCAGCAAAATGTGCAGTAAAAAACGTGCAACACGCACCACGCCAAAATTTTTATGAGCGACTTTGCCACATGTAGCACAGCCCCTTGAAATGAATGGGCTGCCCTTTGTGTGTCACTGGCAAAATGAGCCAAAAAACATGTGCTTCCTCTATTCTTGATGTGAATGGGCCCTGAGACTGAAATTGGTGCGTTTACACAGAACAAAGAGGTTCCATTTACATCTGTGTGATTCTGAACACATGGCAATCTGCATAGAAAATGCATGCTTTGCCATGTGTTTCAGAAACATGCTACAAATGGGCATTGTGTTTGTGTTGTCATTACATGTTAAAGGTACCCCAAGTACAGCAAACACACCAAAAATGTCAGTAACGTGCAGTGTTTCCACTTCAAAAATTGTTCTGGGGCGATTGTTGTGTGTAGGATAGCCCATTCCAGTGAATGGGCTGCCCTATGCGTGACAAGTGAAAACGCTCCAAAACACCCAAAACAAACACGTGCGGGAATGTGAGTCTTCACTACATGGAGATGTGAACTGGGCCTGACAACTGAGTTTCTCCATCCTCTCCCTCCTATGTACAGCGGGGCAAAAAAGTATTTAGTCTTTGGATGCAACTCAGCATTCTCTCTCCTCCAAACACGATTGATATTTGACCAAATACTTATTTTCCACCATAATTTGCAAATAAATTCTTTCCAAATCAGCCAATGTGATTGTCTGGATTTTTTTTCTCATTTTGTCTCACAGTTGAGGTCTACCTATGATGCCAATTACAGGCCTCTCTCATCTTTTTAAGTGGGAGAACTTGCACAATTGGTGGCTGACTAAATACTTTTTTGCCTCACTGTACTTGTATAAAGATGGCCATACACTATGCAATGTACTGTACAATCTCTGTAACTTCCGTTACAAGAATAGGAGGACACACCTGAACAGTCTATTCAATTGGTATCAGATCAGACAGACTTTTGTACTACATAGCTGATGGGAAGAAGGTAGTATTGTAATGAGGGAGGTGTGGTCCAGAGTGGTGAATACACCCTATCACACCCTCTTCTGTGATGCAACAAGGAAGTGAAGGCTTCTGGGAAGTGGCCTACAGGAACTGAATGCTGAGAGACCATCTACAGGAAATTATTCAATCTGGAAATCCATTCAAAGTCTCACAGAAACTGACAAAAAAATTAAATGACCTGTGGATGTGGTAGGTAAGAGAAAAGCACACTGGACAGGCTGGGCCAGAAATGGCATTGGAAAACACTTCTATTTATCATGAAAAGTGAAATTCTGCTTGAAAAGGTGAACTTGTCCTTTAAAAAACAAGACAGCCTGGGATGCAAATATTTAAGTAGATAAAACAATTCTAAACAAAATGACAATTGCCCCAACTTATAACTATGGTTTAGAGTAACGTGCACTCAGGGGGTCAGTTTCGGAGGACAGTGGCTATAGCAGTGGAAGGATCAAGCAGGAAAAATACATGAGAAGATTCCCCTGGCCAGTGACACAGGCTCACCCGAGGTGTGGGGTCTAAGCACTAACCAGTCTTCACCAGAGCTCTTGATGGTGGATATGGGTTGTGCTGCGTGCTAGTGCCAGGTTGCAGTCCTCAGGGTCTCCCCACCAGGAGGTTAGCAAGCCAGGGTGCAGTAGCAGGTGGGGGTCAAGAAAAAGCGTAGTTGGTAAACAAGCCAAAGGTCAGTAAAAAGTGGCTGCAGGCTAGGATCAAGCAGAAGTATAGTTGAGGAACAAGACAGAGGTTGGTAAGAAATGGTTGCAGGTTGGGATCAACCAGAAGAGTAGTCAAGGAACAAGCCAAAGGTCAGTAACAAATGGTAATGAAGAGGCAGACGGCGGCAGGAACAATCTTTTGGCTGGAGAAGCACATAATAATTTGACAAACCGAAAAGGCATGGCTTAAATAGTTAGTTCATGGGAGGAGCAAGGAGTTCAAGGTTCACCATAAACAAGATAGAAAAGAAGTTTTTCCAAGGGATCACGCAGGGAACTGTCCAGCATCGCAGGTGCCTCAGCAAGAAGAGCTACTGCCAGACATAGCAGAGGTCCTGGGTTCAAATCTAGGTCCTGACAAGGGGCTTTGCACAAAGTCAACACAATAAAATGTATTTCTAAGCACACTTGCCAGCTAGTAAGCAAAAGTAAAAAAAATACACTGTCTAACAAATGGCATTAAAAACAGAGGTTTTAGGCCAACAAGCACAATGGCAGATGAAGGTTTCTAAAAAGTCCTCTTGCCGGTTTCGACAAGCTAAACAGACATGGCACTTCCCCATATACAACTAGTTTTTAGAACAATGTAAATCAGGTCACGTATACTGTATTTCTTTCAGCCATTTTCTGTTAGCCTGAAGTATCGCTTTAAAGGTCAACTGTACCTTTTGGTACAAATTGTCCTTTAAGATATGCCCCCACTAAGAGCAGCCTGCCTTGTCCAATACTTAGCTTCAACCCTGTTTCAGCAACCTTGACTGTGCAACACTGCCAGGAGCCAAACAGCCTTCCTTTTGGAAGCATCCTTCCGTGTCCTCTTTGTGCGCATGTGCAATGCAGCCCAGTTAAATTCCCATGGAGGGATCTATTCTCAGTAGGATAAAATGAGACTACCATGAGTACTGAGACTGCATTTGTAAGAAAGGCTGGGGGGCTCCATGCATGGTCGCACAGTGAAGATAATTGGAAATGGGACTAAGGTAAGTAGTGAATCATGTGAGCTGCTGTCAGAGAAGTGTGGCATGCCTTAAAGAACAAAGTCTACCAAAGGTACAGTTTTCTTGTAAGAATAAAGTCAGGTAGCTGTTAATTAAAAACAGTACTTTTTTTATCATTTTAAAATTTCTAGTATACCATAACTTTGTGGTTAAAAATGGACATGAAGTAGCAATTATATCATTTTGATTTTGCCATGAAATCCTAAGCCAAATATTTGACAGTTATTTAAATGAAGTAGCAATAGAAAATGAAAACTATAAGGCATTCACTAAGAAATATGCCTCATGTGCTTTAAAGTGCCCTATTTGCATATTTTAACAAGTGAGTTTGTTGTAATGTACTACTGTTTAACCACCTATATGATGTAAAAGGATCCATTTCTGTAAATATTCTTTTGATTTATGGCATTCCTTCCTCTAAGATTACTGTGGTGCTATGTTCATTGAGGATGAAAACACTCCTGTTGAGATTGCACTGGATGACACCAAACCTGATGGTTCTTGCCCAGCCATCATGGGGTAAGAAAAGGTTATCTGTCTTTCCAAGAGCTATCTGGCTTAGTCTAGCCTTACACATATAGGCTTCTTTCAATCTGCCTGCAAGGTGAACAAAGAATTCTATCAACCTCTATCAATGCTAAACAGCATGGATGGAGGAATCCCCTATGTCATCCCCCACGGCTGCCTGAATATCCAAACAGCAACTTCATCTGTTTTAGCTGATAATTTTCCACTTGGCTCCTTTGATTTTACAGCTGAGGTTTGTTGAGCTGGTTGGTGACAAAAGAACGACCCTACTAATTAAAATTAAAGTATAAGTTAATGCAAAACATTTTTTTTTTAGTTTTGGACAGAGTAGAGATGGATTAGAACACCTGTTAGGTTTTTCATTTCTTTCTATGCCCCTGTTAGCGAGCTTCACCCTCTATTTATTCTGTTAATGTTATCATCAAAAGTGAAAGGAAAAGAAAATCCCAAATTTCGGGTTGTCCCCAGAACAGTAATAGAGGGGAAATCTTCCAATGGGGACACTATTTCCGGGTAGACTGGGGGGCATGAAGAAATTCCCTTAATTTGCAGGGATTTCCTCTCACATCCTGTTTTGTCTATGGGACAGGAAGTGAAGGTAAATCTCCCTAATGGGACACAGATGGCAAGAAACTGATAGGAGGTATAACCCTCTCTTACTCTGTCCAAAATGATAAAAAAAAAATGTCTTTGCAGTTATGAATTTTGTTTAAAGCCAATGACCCGCAGGACTCTGTCACCCTAGCAGTGTCTTTCTATGCTGGTGTTTTTTGTCTAGGAGCATGACTTGCTTCAGGGCCTTTTTCCAGTCTTTTTCTGGGAGTGGCTTGGTCCTGGATGATCAAGAAAGCAGTACGGAGATGATGACATCTGTGATGTTCTCTTCATTAAAACATTATGAGCGCAGGTCACAATAGTCAGGGAGTAGGTCCATGGCATCCCTCACTCACACTCTGTCCTCAGTTGTCTTCAGCCTTCTAGGTTGAGTTGCATATAAACTAGTTTTACTTCATAAAAGTATTAAAAGGCTTTAGATTGGATTGTCTTGGAAGGCTAATTGCACTTTTTTTTTTAGAGATTTTTTTTTTTTTCTCATTCTGTTTCATTTTTTTCAGCTTTATTTTATCCAGGAGGGCCACTGCACTGACACATCTTACCAAGGAAGACAGGTATGGTTATTTTAGTTGGTCCTGCAAACAGTTGGCTGACATGTATATAGCTTGTAATATGATTTAGCAGGGTTGCTGACGATCATTGATCTTTCCAATTAGGATTTAGAGGTATAATATAGCTCTAGAACCTATGGACAAATATAAAAATTACAGGAGTTGGGACAAAGCAAATGAAAGTGGGGTGCTTACAACAATCAGCTTTTACTCTTATGGCTTAAAACTCCTTAAAAAGTGTTACATTCACTTTGGCTGATTTGTTTGTCTCTTACTTAAAGTCCATTAGAACATACATGTCATTTTCCTGGGGTAACAATGCTGCTGTGGAGTTTCAATGCAGAACGAACATTGTTGTCACCCTGTTATAAAAAAAAAAAAAAAAAAGAGTACAGCAAGATCAACAGGTAATTCAACGATGTTACAGAGTGACCCAGAAACATGGATTTGTTAATGCTAGAGACAGACTGCATTATATCCTTCTTTTATTTTAACAAAACAGTAAATATTCACTTCCAAAATGTATAAACACCCAAGTGCCCGGAATGGCTCTGCAGTCACAAGAGGGTGCAGAAGAACACACCCGACTACGTATGAAAACACATGCAGCTCAGCACCGAATGTCAAGTCCCAATCCTCACACACAAGGCATTTTTCAATGCACATTGATGCACTTTTTGCTCATGTGGTAATGCATTTTTAACACATTTTGACGCGTCATGTGTTTTTTTTATGTTGTGCAATAGGCTTGTTACCTAAAAATGCATGCAAATGTCTTCATACATTTGCATGCGTATAAATGCAAATGTACTTCAGGTAGAAAGCCCATTCTCTCTTATCTGGCTGGTTTACATTTATGTGCTGCAATTTAGTGTGCCTTTTTACAGAGTTCATTAACATCTATGTACTGTATGTGTGCTACTATGCATCCTGCAGTGCAGGAACATACACTATATTGCCAAACGTATTGGGACAGCCCTCCAAATCATTGGATTCAGGTGTATAAAATCAAGTACCTAGGCATGCAGACTGCTTCTAGAAACATGTGTGAAAGCATCTGGATCGCTCTCAGAAGCTCAGTGAATTCAAGCGTGGTACAGTGATAGGTTGCCACCTGTGCAATAAGTCAATCCTTGAAATTTCCTTGCTACTAAATAATCCACGATCAACTGTTAGTAGCATTACAACAAAGTGGAAGCAACTGGGAACAACAGCAATTCAGCAACGAAGTGGAAGGCCATGTGAAATGTGAGAGCGGTGTCAGCGCATGCTGAAGCGCACAGTGAGCAGAAGTTTCCAACTGTATGCAGAGCTAAAGACCTTCAGATTAGCACAACAACAATACATAGAGAGCTTCATGGAATGGGTTTCCATGGCTGAGCAGCTGCATCCAAGCCTTACATCACCAAGTGCAATGCAAAGCGTCGGATGCAGTGGTGTAAAGTATGCCACCACTGGACTCTAGAGCAGTGGAGACGTGGTCTCTGGAGGACGAATCACGCTTCTCTATCTGGAAATCGAATGGACATGTCTGGGTTTGGCGGTTGCAAGGAGAATGGTACTTACCTGACTGCATTGTTCCAAGTGTAAAGTTCAATGAAGGGGGATATATGGTGTGAGGTTGTTTTTCAGGGGTTGAGCTTGGCCCCTTAGTTCCAGTGAAGGGAACTCTTAAAGCATCAGCATACCAAGACATTTTGGACAATTTATGCTCCCAACTTTGTGGGAACAGTTTGGGGATGTCCTCTTCCTGTTTCAACATGGCTGCACACCAGTGCACAAAGCAAGGTCCATAAAGACATGAATGAGACAGTTTGGGGTGCAGGAACTTGACTGACCTGCACAGAGTCCTGACCTCAACCCAATAGAACACTTTTGGGATAAATTAGAGTGGAGACTGCAAGCCAAGCCTTCTTCTCCGACATCAGTGCCTGACTGCACAAATGCGCTTCTGGAATAATGGGACATTCCCATAGACACACTCCTAAACCTTGTGGACAGCCTTCCAAGAAGAATGTAAGCTGTTATAGCTGCAAAGGGTGGGCCAACTCAATATTGAACCCTATGGACTAAAACTGGGATGCCATTAAAGTTCATGTGCGTGTAAAGGCAGGCGTCCCAATACTTTTGGCAATATAAGTGTCCTTTTATCATGCAGCAGTAAATGCTGCTCAGTTCTCTGGCATTCTCAGAGGAGACAGTTCTCTTCTGAATGCTTGTTCATGAAGCAGTGTAGAATTGCTTCTCCTAACGAGGAGAGGAGCAATCTACAAATGCTTTGAACACTAGAAAACGGCTGCTGTTACTATAATCTCGCAAGATTACAGTAAGAAATCAGTCAAACACACAGTTTACTAAGCAGCAGTAAATTACAGCTGCTTCGTTTGCAGTTCCCCCGATTCTCTACCTCTGGGCAGATCGCCAGTGAAGGGCTGACATCGCTCCTTCATACACTGGCCGTCTGTGTGCTGAGATGGTCTGAATGGGGCCTAGTTTTTTTAACCCCTTCATGCCGGCACCTCCCAGCCCTTTAAGAGTTTCAGAAGCCGGGAGGCGGGACTGGCAGGGCGGGGTTTAGGGATCATGTGACTGCCACGACACTTCGTCACGGCGGTGACATGATCGGGAAAGGTCCCAATCGAAAGAGAAGACCGGGACCTTTCCATGAGTACCAGACATGTGTGCTGGGAGTGCGTAGGGAGCACGCCCTCAGCATATATGTTTTTTTATCATTGAACGCAAATGTGCGGCGGCCGCTCGGTGTCTAGGCCCAGATGCCGGGAGGCCGCACATTTATGTGCGGCCGGCGTGAAGAGGTTAAAAACAACAAAATAATGCAAATGCAATTTATCCACTTTTTGAATGCTTCATGACTGTTATAGTATGTTTAACCTTGAATGTGCCATAACTACAGTTTGGTTGAAAACCTCTAACTCTTACAGTGGTAAGCTAATGTATGCTGGTGTTTTATAAAATATGTCTCAGTGTGAGCAAAGTATGTCAATGTCTCAGTTTTACATTATATGTTTTTGGCACTTAGGTAAGTATCCAAGACTGCGTCCTGCTTGTGTTCATGTCCAAATATTTTTTTTACCATTTTATTTTCTTACTATCCAATTCTTTATAATTAGGTAATAATTTAAACCAACGATTTATGTTTACTCTTTGTTTTTTAAGTAAAATGTACATTTTTTTTTTACTTTCTACTGTGTATAGAAAGAAAAGAATATGTGAATACTATGCCAAAGTCTTTGGTACTAAAGAAGCATTGCAAGTAAGTTATTCGTGCGTATTAAAAAATTGTTTCTACATTACACATTTAAGCTTTTGACTATTTTTAGTGTCATGTCAAGCATATATGAACCTGTTTATGATAAATTTATGCTTGTGCTCATGGGCCCCCCTCACAGTGCAAAGGTTAATTACTCATTATGTCTAAGGGAGAGTTGAAGAGGTTCTATCAGTTACTTTACAACCCCCCCCCCCCCTCCCAGTGCTCTGCTACTGTGCCCAAAGCTCCAGTCCTTAGATGGAGCCTCTCCGTCATCACGAAAAACATGGGACCTAACCCTTTGTTGTATGGCAAGATGGCTGGATTGCGACTGGAGCTGGTCACAGCTTATAGAACAGGCTGAGAAAGACTGGTCACTTCGCTGGAGGGCTGGAGTAACAAGTTATGTAAGCATTTACTCCTTAATCTTCCACTCCTAGACTAAATGAGTCTTTGACTCTTGTGGGAAGGGGGGGGGGAGCAGGGAGAATCTTTATCTGTAAAACTGGGGTGTCAGACTCAATTTCATCAACGGCTGCATCAGCATTATGGTTGCACTCAAAGGGCCGGTTGTCCCTGTAGGACTATATAAATGTGTCTACTCTTTTTCATATTAAATAAATGCCTCTGCATGCAATTATTACTGGTTTTAGCAACAACTAGCTCTGAAAGCACTTCATAGTACACACCCCTTGCCTGGTGCTGCTGCCAGAAGGAAGCTGGGGGTGGACCCGGGAAGCAGAAAGTGCAGGGTCTGGAGGAGGGCTGGAGTCAGTTGCTGGAATCTGCTGAATGATAAGACCGTGGAGATGGAGATGAGGGGGTGCTGCTGCTGCACAGAGAGGCGCAGGATCTGTAGGAGGAGTTCTGTCCTCTTCTCTGCTGCTGACTGCTGAGACGAGTGCGGGGGGGGCAGAGACATGCCTCTCCACCTTTGCACAGTGAAACACGGAATCTGGTGGAGGAGTTCTGTCTTCTCTGTTGCCAACTGCTGAGACAAGGTAGAGGCAAAGACAATGGGAGTGCTGCAGCTGCAGGAGAGGGGCAAGGGGCACATGAAATGGCCAGGCGGGCCAGATTTGGCCTGCAGGCCTTGTGTTTGACACATGTGCTATATAATAACTGTAACTGCTTTATACTGAGAAAGGGAACTTTTAAGCTGGTCCTATACTATCAAATTTGCTTTACTACATTTCTATGGAGATATTCGTCTAAAGGATTGTGTACATAGACTTCCATTCACATCAGGAGTGCTTTCTCCCTGTCAATGAGAAGACATAAGCAGCTTGAGGCTTCATACAGTTTAGGAGGACATCTGCAGGTTAGAAGAACAACTGCAGGTCAAAGGCACCTGTGAGGGAACTCTCAATTTTATCTCAAATGTAAGCTGAATACAGCTGAGACATCCTGTATTTGCCCATCGACACTTGCCCTTTGGCAAGAATTATTCATTAGTAAGCAAAATTTTGCTCTAAACCTCCTATTTGAGGCACCCCACCGAAAACTGAGTACTTTTTTTTATAACACTTTCACAGTACTAATATGTAAAAAAAAAAAAGTCAAACTGTAAACTAATCCATGAATTGCAAGCACTGAATGGAAGCTTCCTTACTTAAAGTAACAGTTTTCAATCCCGACAAGGTTGTAGTTCACAGTTTTGTGCATACACAAGAGACTCCCAAAACACCCCCTGGTGAGGAACTCTTAATTCCTTGCTGAAATGAAGTATAGACTTCAAACTAAGGTAAATTGAATGGACTTTCTAACTTTGGCACAGTTACAGTGCTGGGACGCATTATCTTTCACTGCTTGTTCAGGAAGCTAAATTGCTGAGGTAACTTGTCCCTTATCTTCAGCTAGTTCCAGGCCAACAAGTACTAAGTCCTAGTAATATTGAGTAGGTGTCAAGTTAAAGTGGTTCTACAGCCTTAAGGTTTTTTACCTTAATGCATTCTATATGTTTAAGTGAAAAACCTTCTGTGCTGCAGCCCCCCCCCTTTTTTTTTTTTTTTTTTTTACCTGAGCCTGATTTGATCCAGCCATTGGCTGTCGGCTGTTGCTGCCAGTCATATGTTAGCTCACTGCTGTCAAACAAATGCTATGATATGGGAGCAGGGGGTGGGGCCAAGCCATTGCCATTGGCTGTCGGCCGTTGCTGTCAATCATATGTTAGCTCACTGCTGTCAATCAAATGCTATGATATGGGAGCAGGGGGGTGGGGCCAAGCCACCCACTCTGTGTCAATGGACGTAGATAGGGTGGCTTGGGAGCGAGCCTGCATAGGCGCCCCCATGGAAAGTAGCTTTTTGTGGGAGCACCCATTGAAGAAGAGGGGCCTGGAGCACCAGAAGAGGAGGAGTGGGGCTGCTCTGTGCAAAAGCATTGCACAGAGCAGGTAAGTATAGACACCTTCTGTGCTGCAGCCCCCCCCCCCTTTTTTTTTTTACCTGAGCCTGATTTGATCCCGCCATTGGCTGTCGGCTGTTGCTGCCAGTCATATGTTAGGTTTTTTCATCTTAATGCATTCTATATGTTTAAGTGAAAAACCTTCTGTGCTGCAGCCCCCCCCCCCCCCCTTTTTTTTCTTACCTGAGCCTGATTGGATCCAGCCATTGGCTGTCGGCCGTTGCTGTCAATCATATGTTAGCTCACTGCTGTCAATCAAATGCTATGATACGGGAGCAGGGGGTGGGGCCAAGCCACCCACTCTGTGTCAATGGACGTAGAAAGGGTGGCTTGGGAGCGAGCCCGCATAGGTGCCCCCATGGAAAGTGGCTTTCTGTGGGAGCTCCCATTGAAGAAGAGGGGCCTGGAGCACCAGAAAAGGAGGATTGGGGCTGCTCTGTGCAAAAGCATTGCACAGAGCAGGTAAGTATAGACATGTTGGTGGAGGAGGAAAAGTGGAACTTCCCTTTCCATATACAGCTGCACTAAGACTGATGGCTTTCTAGTCCTGCACCATACCAACTTAATACAATAAATAGCTAGGCATTTAGACAATGGTAGAATATTTTGTAGTTGCCAGTTCTTGTTACAGTTGGTATACCAGATTGATCCAAACTCCTCACTTTCCATGGTTCTCCCTGTAATTTAAGAAACCAAGAACTGTCAGGTAACCAGCTAGCTTTTTTGGCGCTGAGATCTTGGGACAGTTCTGGCACCCTATAATGGGTGTTTGGGCATTAGGGAGACACTGTTGCCTGCAATTTTAGGCAACGCTATTGATTAGGCATAGTTTAAATGTCAGGAGCATTCTGGGACATACCTTGCTTTTAGATACATTCTAATATTCTCTTCATGTGTTACTTTTCGCCACTGCAAGACTTGCCCTGAGAAAATACAACTCCAGTCTCTTGGACACCAACATAAACGTAGATCAGTCATTGTAGGATCACAAAGGCCATCTGTCTAGTTACACACTGCTGGACAGTGTTTCCTTATGCTGCCAATTCCAGAGTAATATAATGACATTAAAGGGAAAATGCCTGAAAGCAAAACAGTATTATATCATCACTGTCATACATACATTTCAAAGAAAACATCAGACTCAAAAGGTTTTCCCTGTCCAAAGCAAAATTTGAAATTATGAACAATTACCGTAAATCTGTATGGGTTGTATAAAGGCTTCCAGATTAAGGATTTTTATAGATGTCATTTTACTGCACAGAGAAAACATGGACTCCACAAAAATACACTGGACTTATTAATGGTCAGTTTTCAAAGTGGAATTCCATTTAGCTTAGTGATCAAGGTGAAGCTGTGTTCACTTCATTCATCCAGTCGTGTGCAAGCGCCAATCTAATTTTTAATTTCCCCTAGTGCTTTAGTGGGTATTCACCTTGAAGGAGACATACATTCTCACATAAACATTAACCACTTGCCTACCAGGCACTTATACCCCCTTCCTTACCAGGCCAATTTTCAGCTTTCAGCGCTGCCGCACTTTGATTGACAATTGCGCGGTCATGCAACATTGTACCCATATGAAATTTTGATCATTTTTTTCTCACAAATAGAGCTTTCTTTTGGTGGTATTTAATCGCCACTGGGCGCTTTACTTTTTGCGCTATAAATTAAAAAAAGTGCAAAAAATTTGAAAAAAAAAAAAAGTTTATTTGTTTCTTTTATAAAATTTTTCAAACAGGTATTTTTTCTCCTTCACTGATTTGCGTTGATGAGGCGGCACTGATGGGCACTGATAGGCGGCACTGATGGGCACTGATAGGCAGCATAAAGGGCACTGATAGGCAGTACTAATGAGGTGGCACGGATAGGCGGCACTGATAGACAGCACTAATTAGGGGTCACGGATAGGCGGCACTGATATGCAGCACTGATAGGCAGCACTGATAGGTGACACTGATGATGGGTACTGATAGACGGCACTGACTGGCATCACTTCTGGGCACTGACTGGCGGCACTGACTGGCACAACCCCTGGGCACTGACTGGTGGCACTGACTGGCAGCACTGCTGGGCTGCACTGGTGGGTGGCACTGGTGGGCAGCACTGGTGGGTGGGCACAGGTGGGTGGCACTGGTGGGCACAGGTGGGTGGCACTGGTGGGCACAGGTGGGTGGGCACAGGTGGGTGGCACTGCTGGGCACATGTAGGTGGCACTTCTGGGCACAGGTAGGTGGCACTGCAGAGTGGCACAGGTGGGTGCACTGCTGGGCACAGGTGGGGCACTGCTGGGCACAGGTGGGGGCACTGCTGGGAACGGGTGGGCGGGGCTAGTGGGCGCACTGCTGGGCGGAACTTGCGGGTGTCACTGCTGGGCACCGATCATCAGGGCACTGATCATCAGTGCCCTGATGATCGGTGCCGATCCCCGCTCTGACAACTGCCGGTTCTCGGCAGTACTTTCCTCACGATCTGACAGCGTGAGGAAAGTGCAGCCGAGAACCGGCACTTGCATTTCCCTGTGATCAGCGTGTCATTGGACACCGCTGATCACGTGGTAAAAGGCCGGTGGGATCGGCCTTTCACCACATCACGTGATC